AAACAGAGATTGTTGCTTTTGTGTGTGTTGATCTAAGACTTTAGAGTCTACATGGAAGACGATTTCAAACAATTTTGGAAATTTTATGAGATCACACCAACTTGGTGATGTTTTGTCAATGCGGACCGACTGCCCATGTCCATGAAGACAAGATTTACCGTGGGAGAGCCATGCTTCGGCACAAATGGGCCGGCTCGACCGGAGTGATACCACGGCCTCACAGAAAACCGATGTTAAACAATTCTTTCGTTGCCTTTCACTGAGTGAGTGAGGTTACCGGAGCCCAAATCCGCTGACTCGAGAGGAAGGGACTCCAAGGGCAGCAACGCACTTGTGACTTTTGAGTTGCAGGTGTCCATGGGCGGCGGTAGTTGCTTACCATCAGGTGACCTGTCTGCTCGTTTGCCCCTTTATACCATAAAAAAAGATGAAAACCATTAAAGTACTTCGGTGGAAACCATATAGTGAGTGAGGATAGATATACCTAAGGATATGGTTGTTTACCGTGTTAAAGGCGCTGGAAAAGTCAATCAGGATAAGGACAGTAACTTTTGCATCTTCTACCCCATTCCTGATATCGGTTTTCTTTTTAAGCATAGCTGTAACTGTGCTATGCTTAAATGAAATGAGGCCCTGGCATTTCTGCTATTTTAATATTGTATCAATGGACTGTCGATGGAATATCGTCGGAATAGACCAATGGCGATGACTGGGATAGGATTGACTGGAATAATAATAATAAATCTCTCACACACACACACGGCCGTCTGATCCCAAATCAGGCAGAGCCTGTACTATAGTAACCAGACTGCTGATAAATATACTTATATATTTTTAAATAGATACATATTATAGATAAATTACACCCAGACACAGAACAAAATGATCGTGCTCATCACACAAAATTTGTCCTGGGTGGGAATCGAACCCACGACCTCCGGCTTAGCAGTCAGGGTCACTAACCACTAGACCAACAGGCCCGACACTGAATGGGATGACAATCACGATGACTTGTCACTGATACAAATGTCGTCATTGTCTTTGTAACAGTTTGGTAAAGGGTACATTTTAAATGTGTATTTACTCCAGGCATAGCAATGTTGTAGATATCACCATTAATGACATATATTACTATATCGACAGTCTACTGACACTGTGAATTTATGTTAGTAGAATACCGATAATTTGACCGATGTCAATGGCGTCTCAATGGCATCTAAATAGCGTGTCAATGGAATGACAGTGGCTTAGCGTTAACATAAAATAGCAAAACCGAGGCCCTTGTCTGAATCCTGATTGAAATTGATAGATTTACGGGTATGTGACCTTGACCTTTGACCGTCCGTTTGACCGAACTCCGCTAACCTCACTCACTCGCTGAAAAGCAACAAAAAATTGGTGAGGCCGAAAATGATGTTCATAGCATCTAGTTTTATAATTTTCCGTTCAAAACAAGCTAACACATTTACAAGATCATATATTTTTGGCCATTCAATTTTTATCTTAGTTTTTATATATTTTTAAAGTCAACCTACGTCAATAATAATGATAATGTCATTAAAACATCTTAGTAAAAGTGTCAGAATAAAAAACGGTATCACTGCGCCTCGCATTTGTGCCAGTTTAATACAAATTTTATTTCTTCCTCCGAACCATTATTACCAAAATAGGTTGGGTCGGCTACGATACGTCTGGACTTCGTTTTTTTACGCGCAGCGACTGCCACCAGACCTCCACAACCCAAGTACTAGGCCACATCGATGTTCTGAACATGGACTGTTATCTTAGGGCTACAACTAATTAACTGTAACCGGGTCCGACGGCTTAACGTGCTCTCCAAGGCACGAAAGGGTCTCAATGAGTGAAGAAATGGTCACCCATCCATTGACTGACCTGGCTAGAGTTGCTTAACTTTGCAACATGTTAACCTAGTCGGTTACCACTTATACTCTTCGAGGATGAATGCGTCAGTAGGAGGATCACGTCAGTGTATGTATTTATTTATCTGGGCAGACACCAAGAAGTCAAGGATATTATAGGTTTAAAGATTGGCTTGATAAAGAAACCACAGCATCTGTAAGATAAATACAGCTAGGAATATGTAAATTTAAAGATGGGAATCTGAAAGCATGTGTTAACCTAAAAACTTTTAGTAAAAAAAAAGGTATAAGGTGCAAGGTCTTTGTTTTGATTGCTATCTCAAAGTTAGACCTGGCTTGGTCACAAATTATAGGGAGAGAGGATAAGTTGAGCTGTGTTTCCCATAGGCCTCTCAATATTTAAGAATAAAGTTCCTAGCTGAAATTTGCTGAAAATTGTTGGACATCAAACAAAAAATTATGACGTTTATTGGAAGGTATATTGGCATGAACAGTGTAAACCAACAGAGTTATGACAATAATTTATTATAGAATTATTTCTCTTGAAAATATATATTAACTCTGATACCTGTTTGAAATCTAGGTGTAATTTTTCAATAACTACTATCACCCCTCTTAAAGGCTGATATCTGGGATATCCTATCCTATGTCCTTGGACTCAAACTATCTCTATAAGAAATTTAATCTAAATTGGTTCACCAGCTTAAGAGTCAAGATTACACTGCTGTGGGTGAGATGTGTAAATTTGTTATTATTATAACATTTACAAATCTCATGAGATTCCATCTTAATCACTCATGTGTGACCTTGCACAATCAATTGTTTGCAACACACAATAGCTTATGTAATTTGACCCGCATGCAATAGTAATGAGTTTTTGTTCAATGTGTGCATTATTGAAGGCATTGATGAAATTTAACTGCATTATGATGCAGTACCAACATTAGTGAATACTAGTAATTTCGGTTGCTAGTATACCTTTATAAAAAAAAAAAGAAAAAATATATATTATTATATTTACCAGAAGAATAGAAGAAGAATATCGATCTAAGTGGCATGCAATGGGAGAGGCCTATGTCCAGCAGTGGACTGCGATAGGCTGATGCTGATGATGATGATATTTACCAGTGAATTTTAAAATGCCAAATAGTTGTTTTGGAGTTTCGGTGTCTTTTTATGTATAATAATGTATGAATTTACATAAAATAAAGTATATAAGTATTCTAGCTAGTAGTAGTAGTTTGAAACTAGATAGCGTTGTGTGTCAGATTTCCGAAATATTATTATTTGGTAATCCATTAGTTGTGATACAATAACAATGGAGTCAATACCCTTAAGAAATATTATTCAAGCCCACATTTAGCACATTGTCGGTCAACATATTTTCATTACACAATTGCATTGGCAGAATCGTTAACATCTGGTTAATGATGCAATTTTATAAATTGTATTTCAGAAAGATTATTTAGAATAGTTAAGTCTACTAACCTAAATTGTATAAATGACAATTCTATAAAGTGTCTATTATTATTTATATCGCTACAGTAGCAAATGAGCATGATACCTGCCTAATGGTGAGCAGTCAGCTCTGTAATTTTTTATTTTTAAGATGTTTCAATCATCACAAGATCATCTACAATTGGAAATTTGTAATGATTGTCATAGCACATAGTTTTTTAGATAGACAAAACAAGCTAACACATTTACTAGATCAGATATTTAAGGCCATTCAGTTTTTTTATTATTATTTATATTTGTAAGGTCCACCTACGTCAATCACATAATAATAATGTCATTAAAACATCTTAGTAAACGTGTCAGAATAAAAAAATAAAAACAATATTGGTAGAATATGAAACAGACACGAACACTCAAAAAATTTGCCTTTACCTACAGTTTGCTTAACACTATTTGACTTCACACCCACACACAGAGCCTATACTCCTATACTATGGTAACCAAGCTGCTGCTCAGCATACTTGGATGTTTCCGACATGCAAAATATAGATAAACCCATAGAGTTGCAGAAATGAACATGCTCTTTACATAATTATTCGGATAGAAAACAAACCTACAACCTGTGGCTCAGTTGTCACAATCATCAGGATTTGGATTGTGATTTGGACATAGACAAAGATAAATGCCATTAAAATTGATCAAAATTCTTATATCAAAGTTTACGAGCTTTTTTTTAGGATTAGAGCTTTAGCACTAGCGTAATAATAAGATCAAGGCGCAATGGTTATGCATATGATTTATCACAGGTGATAATGATTTTATTACATCACTAATCATCAACAAACCAGTCAGCATTGGGTACTGCTTTCACCAGCAGTAATAAATGTCAGTAAAAGGTTTCTTCTTCAATTACTACTAGATTTTAGGTTGCTGTTCTATCCTATTCAGTACTCATATTGCCTTTACTTTCACATTAGTATAAAAACATGTTTATGAAATAATCTATACTAATATTATAAAGCTGAAGAGTTTGTTTGTTTGTTTAAACGCGCTAATATCAGGAACTACTGGTCCGATTTGAAAAATTCTGTCAGTGTTAGATAGCCCATTTATCGAGGACGGCTATAGGCTATATATCATCACGCTAAGAGCAATAGGAGCGGAGCACCAATGAAGAATGTTTCAAAAACGGAGTAAATTTATTACTATTGAGAGACGCAGACGAAGTTGCGGGGGCATGTAGTCTACAATAAATCCAATAAATATGTATTAATTGGAATTTTTGGAGATTAATAAAGGCCCTTTAAATTATGTCCTTCAACTATTAACAGACCAGACAACACAAGTTGAAGTTACTATATTCTGGCGAGGAATGAACAATGTTATAGTCTATATTAATAGTTGTATTCAAGTTATTAATATTATACTTACAAGAATTACTGATTTAAATAAAAATATTAAAAAAAAGTAAAGGTATTTAGATCAAAAACACTGAGTTCTCATAAAAAGTTTATCCTTTTAGTAGTTTCACTTTTAACTAGCCACCTAAGTTCTTATGATAACCATCTAGGATAGCATAAGACTAAAAGAGACTGTTTATTAACTGTTAATATAACTACATCTTCTTATAATAGAATCTTAGGAGTAGGAGAATATCAACTATTATAATTTCCACTTAACATAAGCAGTAACTTCAAGAAACCAGACACTAACCTGAGGCAAATTGGCGGCGATCTGTCTATGCAACGAATCCCTCTCCTTCTCCACCTCCTTGAGGCGCAGCTCCGAGTCACCCAGACGCTCCTGCGTTTCCCGCAGGCTCTCCACCAGCTTATCTCGCTCATCGAGCATAGATACCATCAACTGCTCGAAATTCGCATCCTCACCGGATAACTGCGAACTCCTTTGACTGATACTGTCTTCCGATATAGTGGGCATCACGTCGCACATCATATTCCACATTTTAATTTAACATCAAACCAGAATACTTATCGCACACGACACACCGAATAACAATTTCGAACACCGTTTTATTACATATGTCCCGGCGCAAACGTTACCTAAAACTAGCGCACTTGAAGCGAGGAAGTTTTTTCACATTGTCAGAACATTCGTATAAGACTTTAGTCAAGAATTCGGGAGACATTCTAGTTCGCTATTTAGAAAGACACACCTAAAAATCGTAATCCTACGATTCCATACTATCATGGCTCAAGCGGCATGTCTGCCATCTTGGAATGGAACGTCAATCAGATCATAGAGTAAGTAGACAGTTTTAACAGAAGTGAATGTTCATTGAAATTCTACTAAACAGTTTCAAGCTGGTAGTAAAGAAACACGTATTTACCTGTTACTACTTATACTTATTAATTTTAGCTATAATATTATGTCTCCTTAATGAAATTGTTTACTTTTAATAACTAGGTTTCACCCGCACTTTGACTTTCGCTTTATTTTTTATTTCGCAAATTTATTTTCTTTTAAAAAATTTTCTCGTCGTCGGTGTAGATAAAACAAAAAAAAGTGTTATTCCTTACTTACTTATTTATTCTAACATTAATTCCATTCAGTCATCAATTTTTTATAGAAATTTAAATAAACCACTGCAAGTGTCACTCTGGCTAAACTTGTGCCTAAAAGTTAAAAAGGCTTATATTAATCTTTGGCACAATTTAAGAGTAGTACCGACAGAGGTCGTTGTCATAAATGAATGAACTTTACAAAGAAAGTTACGTAAATAATTTAATGAAATGGATTTATGTGAAACTTGAAACAAACAATCTTGATAAAAACAGTGAAGTAAATTAACAAGAATTAAACTTTCTCTGGCCAATGACAATCAATAAATATCTTTCGATTATATGAAAAAGCTAATATCCAGATCAGGAGAATTAAAATAAAAAAGCATCTAATGTAGATTTCTTTGCAGAGAATTTTCTTTTTTGTGTGCAAGTAATAAAATATTGTTTAAGGTGAGTAATATCAAAAATTTAAACGTAAGATTCCCAAACTAGAAAATATTTTAAATTTAAAACAAAACTGTTCACTGTTATTTTGTTTCAGCGCCATCTTTCGACCAAACTATGTTCAGTTAAAATGGTATCCTTATTTCTTTACTTTTCCAAAATATTTTAAACATAGTTAAAAGAGATATTCACAAGTCAGATGCCAGATTTTTATAAGTCCAGACACAGATGGAACTTGGGACGCGAAACTCTAGAATTTATTTTTGACTATTAAAATGTTATCATAAGGTTTTAAGTTTAAGCTCTGTTTCATGTCAGTTGAGATTGGAAAGTGCACCGTAAGACGATCTCATTAAGATTATTCCACTCCACTTAGTCCTTAACACAATCGCCACTATTTCTAATAAGAACCTATAAGATAAGAATAAGAATAGGAATTCAGCAGCAAGAGTTTTGTATTTTTTTTTCGTATTTCGGACATCTGACACACAACGCCATCTAGTTTCAAACTAAGCAGAGCTTGAACTATGGAAGCTAGATTGATAATACTTATATACTTTTTTTGTAAATACGTACATATTATACATAAAAAACACTTAAACTCTGAAACAAATATTTGCAGATCATACAAGCATTTGGTCCGACACGGGAATCGAACCCGAGACCTCAACACAGCAGTCGCATACGATGCCACTGCACAACCGAGGCAGTCAAATTAGTCAATATTTGAAAATTATTTGAAACTAGCTGACCCGCGCAGCTTCGTCTGCGTCTCTCAATAGTAATAAATTTTCTCCGTTTTTGAAACATTCTTCATGCGGTGCTCCGCTCCTATTGGTCTTAGCGTGATGATATATAGCCTATTACCTTCCTCGATAAATGGGCTATCTAACACTGAAAGAATTTTTCAAATTTCAAACAAACAAACAAACTCTTCAGCTTTATAATATTAGTATAGATAAATTTATTCACCAATAAAGCATTCCTTAAAACAAATATTACGTCCATTAGGACGTGACTAGGCTGACAATATTTAAAACCATGATCAAGACAATGGTGCTAATTCTGTTGTTCGAAAACTCTGTAAACTAAACTAAAAATCACTAAAAATTTGTTTAGTTCTGTCAAACAACGTTTCCTATTCTGAAAACGTAATATTTCACAGGACAACAATTTTTTTTGGTGATTTTTACGAGTTAAAATAATTATTTACTGGATAAAACCTATAATACATCTGGTTACATAGGTAGATACTTTATGAATTATTTATAAGGGATTGTATTGATTGTATCTTTGTCTAAACTTCAAATAAACACACACTAAGTAAGTAGCTTTGCGTGTGTTTATGTATTTATAGATTTTTATACATATATAAATGTGAAGTGTGTGTGTGAATGGGAAGAACCCTGTTTCGCCGGTTCGACCTGCATGATACCACGGCCTCGCAGGAAACCGGGGTTTAGTATTTTTTGCCTTGTTTTTTGCAGAGTGTGTCAGGTCACTGGGGCGCATACCCCCTAAATATACAGGGCGTAAGGGACATTGTATTCGTTAACGAATACTGAAATGGTGTATTCAGCCCATGACTCTGAGTCGAAAATCATTGGAATTCTCTGCCGGAATTTTATCACAATAAAATAATAATAAATATCTATACACAATATAATAATATCAATAGAATATCACAATAAGTAAATAGAACATTTCACTGAAAACAATTTAATAAATACCGCATCCGGTCAAAAACCGCAATGTAATTAAACAAACAGCCGCGCGGGGCCTCCCCTCTGGCCGCCAATTTGTGTTACTGTTTGCACGGCATACACAATGTGTATTCCGTGTAATAACTACATGTCATGTAGTTATTACTTTTGTGCGATACCTACGGGAAATGATCTTCACCTTTGACAGCTGATTTCATAAAATTTAGACTCAGAATAATGGTCTGAATGCACTATTTCAGTATTCGTTACGCTGTCCCTTACACTCTTTATATAATACTATACACCTGTAGCTTTTTGTATCCATTTTCGACCAGTATGAAAAAGCTAGCTTTCTGCCCTTCTTCTCCATAACTTAAATAAGTAATCGAAATTATGAATCCCTCAGTCCGCGAAATTGGCCTGTTGGCAATAGTAAAAAGCACCCCACGCTTTTTTTCAAATTTATTTTGTATTTTTTAGTTTGGTTTCCTGTAGAAAGCTTGTTTTTAGTTTTTTAAAACTAATTTTTTTTTTTAAATTAGTGTATTGTCATCGGTCCTCGATATATCTACAAAATTTGAACGAATTCTGACCGTTTAAAGTCAGTCAAAATCACGCCCAAAGGAGTCGGTTACAAACATACAAACATACATACAAGTGAAGCTAATATAAAGCGTGTAATTATTTGTACTTACTGACTGACTAATTCACCTGCCTAAACTGAAGCTGATGCTTTTGATATTGTAAGAAAGGATTTTTGAAAATTTCACCCCGAAAAAGCTAAAATAAGGTATCAACAGTTGTATACAAGTTCGTCATTTTCAAACACGAAATAGAAAAGAATTACGTGAGCGAAGCCGTGGACGATAGCTAGTAGGGTACATTTACGTCTTAGAGCATTTTAAATTATTTAAAATGCAAACATCGTCAACCTTTGATTCATCAAACAAGTTTAAAATAACTGAGATAATATCTTAGACGGTATTCAGGGTATGATCTCAGCCGACGCGACGTTTGACCTCTCAATCATTTATGTTACGACTTTTGTGTTAAATAAACATTATCTTCGTTAGTGAACGTTTTATTGTGTTGCAAAAATGTTTAAAATTATTGTTTTTCTGATATTTTGTGTCACAGTAAGTACTATTTACTTAAGTTTTAAGTTACTGAGTAATTTATTCACGTTATATTCACACGTAACTAGGTTCACACTAACGTTTCGCTCTGTTTTAGTGAAGGTTTTAAGTTTAACATTGACTTGTTCTTTCTTTTGTAAATGATCAATCGCTTTTGTGTCCTTTAAAATTGTATAGTCTTTGAGATATCAAGTGCCTTATATTTATGTTCTAAGTACCTAACCAAAAAACAAAAACTTAAAAAAAAAATAAGTATTTAATTTTGTACTTATTATTATACTGTGTTAGTATGTCTGGTTTAATGTTTATATTTTCAATATAAATGACAACCACTGTAATTGTTTTAATCAGGTTGATTATTAATTAAGATAATTAAGGGAACGTACCTATTTGTCAAGGTTAATTTATTTTAATCTATAGGTACTTTTCTAGTTGCGCAGACGCAGTGAGTTTCAATTTAAAATCCAATCAAGCTGTCGTCTTGTTAATTTTATTATATTACAACTTTGATTGCCTCGGTGGTGTAGTGGTAGCGTATGCGACTGCTGTGCTGAGGTTTCGGGTTATATTCCTGGGTCGGACCAAATGGTTGTATGATCTACAAATATTTGTTTCGGAGTACGGGTTTTTTCTATGTATAATACGTATGTGTTTACAAAAACAAATTAAGTATTCTATCAGTCAATCTAGCTTTCATAGTACAAGCTCTGCTTAGTTTGAAAGTAGACGGCGGCGTTGTGTGTCAGATGTCCGAAAACTCTATTATTATTACTTTCAGGCAACATTTGGAACGTCAACCTCAAAACCAGTCTATTGTGGAGACACACCAGATAAGGTAAGTATAAAAAAAAACAGTTGCACTCCAGGAGTGCCGACAGAAGTAAAAACTTGAATGTTTTTTTTACAACAAGGTTTTTTTTTAACTTTGCGATTCGAAATGTTCCGACATGAATATATGTTGTACATATATGTTTATATTATTTACAGTTATATTATTAATGTATTTCAACCCAAATTCGATTCTCGTGTAAAACCAATATATGTAGGATACTTATATGCAGAGGTGTCGGTAATGGTAACAGTGTCGCGATTTCAACGGTTTTTACCCATAAAAAAATTACATTCTTTTGTTTGGTGTTAAAAAATGCCTAAAGAAGTTTTCACTTCATAAAAATACCCGTATCACTGTCCACGAGTATAAAGTGTCCAATAATTGGCCCGGCTTAAGTAACCTAAGCACCTTAGGATACTGACTGCTAAGCCAGAGGTCGTGGGTTCGATTCCCACCCAGGATAAATTATTTTGTGATGAGCACGATCATTTGTTCTATGTCAGGGGGCATATGTTTAGCAGCCTGTTTAACCTCTCTACGAAAGTACGCACACCCGCAGTAACCCGGTTTTTAGCCTAAATCGTGAGTAGCGCTGCTGAGGGAAAATTGTAAGTTAGGGTTGGTTGACGGATTAAGAATACGGAATGTCACCACCCCCTATTCATTCCGTGGGTGTCGTAAGAGCCGACTAAGGGAACAAACTGCACAGGACAACAGCGCTGCAAAAAGAAGGAAAACTTGAAGCAAACCCTATACCAATCCGTCTGGCTAGCGTGGTATAGAAGCCCAAAACCTTCTTTCTAAGGAGAGGCCTATGTCCAGCAGTGGACTATTATAGGCTGTTGATGATGATGAGGGTTGACAACACATAAATCACACTACTGGTGTTACCAGACTTACTTTGCAAATAGTTGTATGAACATTCTTAATTGCCTTAATACCTTTTTTATAAAGTTACATAAATTTACAAATACAAAATACATACAAGATTTAAAAAATAATAATGAAATGACGCGAACAACAACTTATTTTTATACCATACTTATGTACCTACATATATGGCTAAGTACATACGTGTATATTACTATATTTACGATCCTTCTTGTACTTGTAAGGGGGTATTTCTAAGGAGAGGCCTACGTCCAGCGTTGGACTAGTAAAGGCTGTTGATGTGATTAACTAGATAAATTGCAAAACTTACGAGTAAATTAAATAGTAGCTAAGAAGAGAAGACAATATGAGAATAATATAATAATAATAATAATCCTGCCCAATATTCTTTCTCATACTCACAAATGTCATCAGTCCTATTTTGGACTAATCTTATATATAAAATTCTCGTGTCACAATGTTCGTTCCCGTACTCCTCCGAAACGGCTTGACCGATTCTCATGAAATTTTGTGTGCACATCGGGTAGGTCTGAGAATCGGCCAACATCTATTTTTCATATCCCTAAATGGTAAGGGTGACCCATCCCTATTTTTTTTTGTTTTGCAATACAACGTTTGCCGGGTCAGCTAGTAATAGTTATATTTTCCATTACAGCTACTATCATGTTTAAAGAACCCGCACGTCGTGTCCCAGGATGTGATCTCTAGTTGCAACAATGATCAAATCACTGAAGTAAGTGATAGAACTATGTATTGTTTTTATATACTTTTGAATTTTAATGAAAATATTTTAAATCCAAGTAATTTTCTATGTACTTACGATCAGAAACTAGATTACTTAGCATGCAAGATGATCTCGAAACTTAGGTTAGTTCAATTTTAAAGCTGTGAATTTTTAAACAACATAGTATACACCACAACAATAGAGTACCTGGATAATTAAGTTTGTATAAATTTTGTCAAAAAACATAAAAGAAAAGCCAAAAATGATATTAAAAAGCACAGACCCATTGATAGTAGCAGAATATTTATTTGGCAGCTGAAGTGAGATGTCTCAACTTACTTTTTGGATTTTATATAATAAATTAAAAATAAACCTAAATATTGAATTATCTATTCAAAGTGAAAAGCTGAAAAAAATGTTTGTTTGGTTGAAAAAGCTCATCTCAGAAACTACTAGTTCGAATTGAAAAATTCTTTGAGTTTTGGATAGCCCATTTATCGAGGAAGGCTATAGGTTATATAACATCACGCTACGACCAATAGGAGCTGAGCAGAATGAAAAGTGTTGTAAAAACGGAAAAGTTTTTTCCTTTTAAAAGACGCAGACGTAGTTGCAAGCGTCAGTTAGTGTATTATAATAATAACCGTTAGTTACAGGTTGACAGGGCCATGTCTGCATAAACTGATGTGGCTTAACTAGTACGGTACCATTAAAAACGCAAAATCAACCAAAACATGCGATATTATTCGTATTATGTAATTCCTTCCACTTTCGTACAATCTGATGATTTTGTTAAAAGAGACGAGACGAGACGAGGGAAATTACCGTGGGAGAGCCATGCTCTACCGGAGTGATACCACGGCCTCACAGAAAACCGGTGTGAATGAGGTTACCGGAGCCCAAAGCTGACTCGAGCGGGAGGGACTCCAAGGGCGGCAATGCTCTTGTGACTTTTGAGTTGCAGGTGTCCATGGGCGGCGGTAGTTGCTTACCATCAGGTGACCCGTCTGCTCGTTTGCCCCCTTATACCATAAAAAAAATAGTTTTTTTTTAAATATTTTATCATTTACAGTGCGATGTGATGACTTGCGCCTTCCGTAAGTACAAATGGCTCAAGGCCGGGAAGATTGATAAACCAAAAGTGGTGAGCCACTTCAACCAGCTGGCTAAAGATAAGCCGGAGTGGAAGACTGTTCTCGAGTACGCGATAACGAATTGCGTGGAGCGTGACCTGCCACCACAAGGAGTGTACCTTGGCTGTCCAGGTTATGATATCCTACACTGTGTACTAGTCAGCTTCATAAAGGTAACTTGATTATTATTATTATTATTGCAAATGATTAATAATCTATACATATAAAATTGCACTGCACGGATGGCGTAATCGTTTAAGCGGTTGCCACGCCGTTTGCTACTGCGCTCAGTGTTGTGGGTTTGATCCCCTCATGGGATACCACTTTGTGTGATCCACAAATTGTTGTTCTGAGTGTGGGTGTTCTTTGTGTCCGTATCATGTATGTTTGTAAAGTTCCCGCGACACAGGATATATATTCTTAACGCAGGAAACAAAAAATTGGCCTGACTGGCTCATTCATCAACGCAGAGCTTAAACCTGGGGCTATAAAGCTTTCATGATGTAAGCACCCATTAAGAAAGGATTGTTTAAAAATTCACCCCAAGGAGGCAAAATAACGGGGGTAAAATTACTGCACGGATGGCGTAGTGGTTTAAGTGGTCGCCACGCCGCTTCCTAGTACGCCGAGTGTTGTGGGTTCAAACCCCACATGGGACAACACTTGGTGTGATCCACAAATTGTTGTTCTGAGTCTGGGTGTTCTTTGTGTCCGTTTCATGTATGTTTGTAAAGTCCCCCGCGACACAGGAATATATATTCCTGTTGTCTTTTAAGAATAAGAATCATTCATTGCAGAGAAGTTTGCCATTTTCAAAGATTGATTTCGCATGATTTCTTATTTCGTGTTTCTAGCACGAAATAAGACATCATGCGATTAAAGCCGCGGGCAATAGCTAGTCGTTTATAAAATTACAACTGCCATTGTCAGTTAATTTGTTTGGCACGTTTTAATTTTTAAACGTATCCTATCCTATAAAATTTTGTAAACTCTTTGTACAGAAAAAGATATATAAAGAGTATCATAATAATTAAGATAGAATTATATTATATCATCATCAACAGTCTTTAACAGTCTACTCCTGGACATAGGCCTCTCCTTAGAAAGGAGGTTTTGGCCTACTATACCACGCTGGCCAGACGGGTTGGTACAGGGTTTGTTTCAAGTTTTCCTTCTCTCTGCAGTGCTGTTGTTCTGAGTAGTTTTTTCCCCTTGGCTCTTACGACACCCATAACATTTAGAAATATAAAGAGTGCCGAATATTTAGAAATATAAGATTTAATTTTAGAGAATTAGATTACTGTTTATGAGGCATAGGAAACGTGAAGGAAGTCACTGATAAATGCTAGTAGACGAATAAAGTGAGGTAAAACATGTGGTTTGCAATTCTCATATGTTACTAATCTAGCGAATGGGTGTTGCCCGTTGTGATTTGAATTGTTTTTTAGTAATTTTTATTTTTATGGCTTTATCATGCACGCAACTCTTGCATAATTTTAGAAATTCTTAAAATTCTGTGAAATTTTACTCAGCACTATGATCACAGAAACCAAGCTTAAATATGACTGAAATTAGAAAAGGGGTAACTTAAGTTAGCGCTACATTTTTTGTGTCAGTATGTAATACACTATTGCTGGTCTTCAGAAAACCGACGCAGCCCAATGGGACTCATCACCAAGCTGCGAGTACCCACGCCAATACGCCGGGGCCTGTCCCGTGTGCCCCAGTGACTGCTTTGCGCCCGCGATACCCTATGGATCCTGTAACGCCTGCTACGCCGTCGCTCCTGCTGCTTAAAGCGCCATCTAGTAAAATAAAATGAAACTTAATTTCTAAATATGTTTTTTATTGTAGGAGTAACAGCAAAGAGTTATGTCGTTTATAGCTTCTTTTAAATGTGCTCACAAATGAGCAGACACAAGAGTAGTCTTCAAAGTGTGTGCCCAGTAACCTAAAAAGAAACCAAAGACAACAATATTGGCTAACAAAGTAAGTTAGTAAGTCAGTAACAATTGAAGATCATCTAAATTAGTAGTAAAAATTCATTAACAGATGGAGAAAATTAAAAAAAAAAGAATTAGCATTTCATATTTATGACAGGTAAGCGTGGATCACGTGGCTCCAACACACCTATTACATGAAAAATATGTATTGTAGGTGTGTTACATTAGTAAATAAGGAAGAGTTCTTTTGTGAGTAGTAAAAACTAAAGCTAAAGCTAAAATTTTTGCTTAAAATTAAAAAACTTAGTTTTTCAGTTTTTTCGGTTTCCCGAAATTCACACCCAATTCCTATCATGTTGTTAGATCCTAAATACTCAATATTAATTGAGCTATAAACTATAATATATTACAAGTAGGTACTTCAAATTTATTATGATATCTTTCAGACCATTTTGGATCGTTCTGAGATCAATAAGACCATAGATAAAAATGTCACTGCATGTTATTTATCATCTAACTGTATAATTGAACTTTCAAAATAAAAAACTTAGCCAAGTCGCTTAAACGATAAACCCCCGACTTAAGAGAACAGACTATACTTCTTAGTATTAGTTGAAAAGAGAATTTCCAATGCGCGAAGACCTTAATTTTCTGTACGACGTCACATCCTTTTTGTATCGAGCGAAGCCCACCCAACGCTTTCCCGCCCGCCCGATAATTTTCCATTGTATTAACGCGCATGCGAACACCCGATGTTCGTTCTTGACACCTGTCAAAATCAGTCTGTCCCTGTCCCCGGTGCCGTGCACTGTTTGACGTCATTGTATCCGTCAATTTGGGAAATTCCTGGTGCATCTCGGTGAATCATGTAATTTAAGGTAAGTAATAAAAGTATTTACTATGTTTCAGTAATTTACTCGTATATAATACGTTTCTCGAATATATTTTTTTAACTGTCGGCGAAAACAAATTTGTTTTTTGAATTTCGAATATTCGATATTTCTTTTTATGATCGTTTTTTAACCATCCAGATATTCTATGCAGTTTTATCGATTGTTAAGAAGTAGAAAGCTAGGTAAGGTATAGATTTTCAGCGATCTATGGAAAGCTCAGTATGGTTCTGATAACAATTAAAATGTACCTGTATCCGACTGATATTGCGCCTGTCTGGTGACCTTTACTCTTAGTTTTATCAGATTGATTTGAGCTTAATTGATATTGCATTGATGTTGTCTGCCATTACTATCTTGATATAGACAATCTCGATAGCTTTCGATGTATTAAGTAGCTATAGGTAAATTCATGTGATGCTTTTCTGTAATCTTATAAATCTGTGGTAATCTTAAAAAAAAATATGTACTTAGATTTATAGTTCTGAATACAATACGCATTCATTTAATATTTGTGGCAAAAAACAAAAAGAAAGACAACATTCTAAATTTAAATTTAGGGATTAAAAATCATTATTGATTAATGATATTGTCAGTATCGTTCTAAAACCTGCGAGTTATTTTTAGAGTGTTCATCTTTCTACGCCTTGGAAACAGTTTTACGTGTATGGGGAAAACTCCACCTGTTTCACTTTGTTGAATACGAAAGCCGATTGTCAGTTTAAGTCTCTTACTTACCGATGTACCAATAAATAATTTACATAACCAATTATCCACATCTTACCATGTAAGAGAGTAGGGAAAGGTTTTATTCTATTAGTGATGGTCAGCATCCATTTTATTATGAAAAATGAATCGATTACATCAGGGATAAGACTAAATTATTTAAAAAAATGTTGTTAGTTACTGTATGCCTATATTTATCACATACTGGCGTTTTAGTCATCATCATTGAACTTAAGAACTAGACGATAGTATAACATAAAAAAATTCAATACGTGAATATTTAAGGGTATTTAAAATTTACAAACAGATAATTTTAATGTGGTGTGGGTTTTTATTTATGCTGTAAGAGGACAGACAAGCAGACGGGTCACCTGATGGTAAGCAACTACCGCCGCCCATGGACACCTGCAACTCAAAAGTCACAAGTGCGTTGCCGCTCTTGGAGTCCCTCCCGCTCGAGTCAGCGGGAGGGGGGATTTGGGCTCCATTAACCTCACTCACTCACTGAAAGGCAACGAAAGAATTTTTTAACATTGGTTTTCTGTGAGGCCGTGATATCACTCCGGTCGAGCCGGCCCATTCGTGCCGAAGCATGGGTGATTTACATACCCAGTATGACTCTCACAATGCAGACGAATCTAACGACCTCTCCCAAGCCGAAATCTATCAAGGAAATGTACATACAGAAATATACTTAAAAAACATAACCCATTCTTCTGGCGCAGTCGGGTGGTAAAGATCAGACGGTATGTTTATGTATTATAGAAAGCATTTTTATTGTAGTCATTGAAATTATTGCTACTTTGGTATAGGCATATATAAATGCCATCAAAAACTTAAGCAAATAAAAAAAACGGTTTTCTTTATCAAAGACTACTTACAAACTTTTTTTTAGATTTAGATGTTTTAGGCAGTGGATTTGTAAATTAGTCACAGGTGTGATTATATGAGTTATAAATCATATGATTTAAAACAGGTGATTGTGATTTTATTCTATCCATATGTGAAAGGCATTTGTTGTGTACATCTTATTTTGCAGCAAGTTCTTTCAAGAGCATATCCACTGTTGCTGTAGGCGGACGCCTCGTATAACGCAACACTAAAAAAGTTTTTAGTTTATTAAACATGTTAATTCTTGAAACTAGAAAAAAGCAGGTAAATCTGAAGGGTATCACACTTGACCAACAGGACAAAAAGTTGATGATTTTTAAATTTAAGTATGTTAATCAGAAGCCTTGTAGCCGTAGTACAATCTCTGGCTGGTTTGGGATCAGGCGGCCGTGTGTGAGATGTACGAAGGTGTTATTATTGAGTTTTTTGAACCAAAAATTTGGCTGAAAGTCGCACGTCTCTCATTCACACACTCCACAACCCTTAAGTACTATATGCGAAGGATTGGGTATCCGGGGCATTAAGCCTACGGTAGTCGCCGCAAGGTCTAATTTCACAAATGTTTTTTTCCAACAACATATAAGGGGCTTGCCAAAGCGCTCTTTGAAGGCCGACAAATACCTAGTCCCTGCATCTTGAGAAATTCATCTTTTACGCAAATACCGGTGGCCCTGTCGTTTCTATACAGTCCTGTACTGTTGATTTTGAATGATTTATTAAGAATGATATTGGTTTTATAATATTATCTCTCTCTTTTGCGTATAGCAGTGGACTATTAAAGGCTGACACGTGAAGCTTAAAAGCTACGAGTTGTTGCAAATTATTCGTTGCAGTAAATCTCTCTTAATAGGCACATCAAAATACATTTATTTTATTTTTATTGTACACATTGTGATTAATTAAGTAATTAGGTAGAAACTCATACATATTGTAGAGCTCATTTATTTGAAATTCATTTATTTATTAACACGCTTTTATTAGCTTGTTATGTGTGTATCTATGTTTGTATGTAACGTATTCTTCGAACGTGATTTTGATCCACTTCAAAACGTCGAATGAAATTGAAACTTTGCACACTTAACGCCTTTTACATACCTAAAAATACGGTAATGTCTTTTGCTACGTACTAAGGAAGGTGTGCTTAAGCATATGTGACTTAGTTACTTGTTACTTAAATTATATCATAATTAATTACTAACAAAAACAAAAACCAATTCTAGTTCAAAAAATAAAAAAAACACGCCTTTGTAATCTTCTGTAAGTTCAAAAAGACAAATCATTTTATCGTAAAAACGCTTTTCAAGATATTTTATAATATAATAACACCCCACGCGTTTTCACGATAAAATAATATTTATTTTTGAACTTATAGAAATTGTTTCCATTTTAGAACGAACGAGTGTATACTCATCCAATGTTAATATTTTAAATGTATTTACATGTTTATATTTAATTTGTACAACAATTAATTAAGCTTGTGTGGGTTACTCTAATTAATAATGAAATTAATAATCATTTAGAAAGTTATAGAGCAAATAAATTAAAGTAGGGCTTTAACACAAACCGTGGGAGAGAGTTACTTAAGCACATATGGGGCGGCTTAGATATTTATAAATAATTTAAGTGGGCGTCTCCGCCGGAGTAGTATCACGGCCTCACAAAACCGGTGTTAAGGTAAATTTTCGTTGCAGCAGCAGCAGGTATTCCTAAAGTGGTTGATATCGACCCCTTGAGGTCAATATCGGTTTCCCAGGGGTCGACATAAACTAACTTTGGGGTTCGACGAGATCTAAAAATAGACCCCTATTAATTAACACAAGTTCTCATTGGAAACTTTCAAGATACTGTATTAGTTGTGTTACGTGTACCAACTTGTCATAAGAGTTACTAATATTTTAGTATTAAGTTTCATTGTTGTACTTTAAAAAAACTCAACAAGTCGCAACAAGCATGCAGTAGTTTGGCTATGGGGTCTGAGGTATCACTTCATTTTATACAAGGGGGCTCTTGCCCAAAATAGTTTGGCAATCCATGATATAATTAGTATAATTTAGACTTGCAACGAATATTCGGTTACTATTCGGTATTCGGCATATTCGGCTGCTTTTATTATATTCGGCCGAATACCGAATATCTACATATTATTCGGCCGAATACCGGATACTTAAATAATATATTTTGTCATTGAGAAATAATTGGTAAAATGAAAAATTAAAATCGATTGATTACGTATATATTCATATTTTCATTTCTGTTATAATCATTTAAGTAGTCATTGGTGCATAACACAGGTACATAATCATCTTCTGAATTGGAAAAATGGAGGATTCTATGTATTTGAATTATT